GTACCCCCCCCCCCCACCCCTGCATGGCTCGTACTCCTATGCTGATATGAAGCCATGCACCGACACCGCGACCCGGTAGTGATTTCCTTTGTGATTTCTCGTGAATTATTAATGAGTTTTCTAATAAAATACACATATATATACACAATAAAATACATTAGGTTCGGCCCATGAAAAGCGCGACGCAGGTTCGACATGGGTTTAGACGCCCCATAATACGACGTGACTTCCTGTATTTTGTTCCTTGTCGAACCTAATCATAATTTCAAATCGTATTTGGTTCCGGTCCTTGACCTTTCTGGTCAAGTGGTTTACATTTGCGGCAATTACCGTCACGTTAAAGCAAGGCGCTTCACCTGTACTCAACCTGATCGCATATACGTCTCTGTAAGTAAATCCTTAATTATTCAAAACATTGAGAAAATATTAAATTTGCTTGTAAATTGGACTAATTTAACTGAACATTTTGATTCACTAATTTTTGCATTTGTGGTCCCGCAAAACAGCGTTGTCAGTTACACGTATAACCATCCCGAAATTTTGTTAATGATGCAAAAATGTGTCTGTTAAAAATTTGAATACTTGAAACTTTTACAAACCATACGTTAGCATTATCACGCATGTTGATTATATAAATGCCCGCAGCCTGTGAAAAATGACGTACGGTGACCGGTCCCTTCCCGTGTTTTTCAGAGTGTACCCAGTTTTCGTTCAAAATTTGGGAAGGGTGGAAAATTGATAGCGGACAGTGTTGCGTATCATGGAATCTACTGAACATTGTTCCAAAATAAAGCTCTATGTGACTATTTCTCCGAGTGAATTATAAATTGTCTATTGTCAAGTATTCTGAAATCAATATTTCACACTGTTGAAAGGTGTGTTTGAAGACCTTCTCCAAGTGCCTCTGCAATGCAAGAAATGCGGTTTTAGATGGTAGTATAATGACCGTCCCAAAATTTTAAGAAATTGAACTTGGAACGTGAGAGGCGTTGCTCGCAGTTCAAATTGACATATATGGTGGCCAGACAGCGAGGCACGGCAGTTCCCGTTGAAGTGTACCGCATACCGCCATGTTTTTATCACGTACGTCGAGGTACGCTCACAATACACCCTTTGCGGAAAGAACTTGTCCTTGGTTATAGATCCTCGCTTTCAGGATTGAGATTTCGGCTTTAGAGACCTTTTGCTTGAAATGTCTGTATAAAATGAGTGTCATATGATTGTATGTAATGTGAATGAGATTTATTGTTACAACTTCAGTACAACTTCATCGCCGCAAATCCCTAATCGATCCGTACAGTATCTTAATTTAACCAAATTGTACCTAATCGCCACAAATCCCTATCTTAATTTAACCAAATTGTCGCCGATAGTCGGGAGCCTGCCTCCTTCGCAGGCCCTCGTTGTGTCATGGGAAGGTCACGATTTCGAGAGGGCCTGCGGAATCTTGTAAAATGAATAAATGTTGTTTTGAACCTGCTTCGTTAAAGAAGGCAGTTTCATTCGTGCAACGTTGGTGTGGACAACAAACCTTATCGTTAAAAAATGCTTCCTTCCACGTCGATCCTAAGAGTCGCCAGTTTAATTTACAAGTTTCACCACGCTTTTTTATATCCTGTTTATATTCAAGATTATGTAGAAATTTACTTGCTGACGTGACGCCGGCGCCATTTTTTTACAAGATTCCGCAGGCCCTCTCCAGATTGTGACCTTCCCATGACGCAACGAGGGCCTGCGGAGGAGGCAGGTCGGGAGTCTCGATTTTTCTGAAGATCATGAAAATGACAAAGTGAGTGCGGTGAAAGCGCTATATATCTTAGCAATATAAATGTATGTGTACATCTTCAGAAAGTTAGATATATAACGAGAAATGGGGATTTTAATGAATCATTGCACTGTTTTTATTGCTCATTTGTATTAGAGGCCTCAGTGACTTCGTAACCAATTTGAAATAACCACAAAAGTTTAAGATGTTGCTTTGAAAATATTTTGATAGTACAATAAAAATGAGACATAGCCTATACAGTCTGTCTTTTGCAATGTGAATAAGTCAACCTCATACGATCTTGATTTTGGTTAGTTATTTGATTCAGTTGGTGTAGAGTATCTATATATGGCCATATATAGGCAGCACTTCCCCTTGTGAAAATATATAATGTTTTGTATTTACCTGACTACTTAATTAAATGTCTTCAAAGATTTGTAATAATTTAATTTAGACTACGTATGTATAGTCATATTTATTGTTTGTCAATTGACTCCACATTTTCCCCCAAAGCTGCCAAACTGTTCAATTTTAGTACTATACCCAATTTAAGCTTTGGAACTACACATTTTGAATAGTAATCTGCCCATTTTGAACGGGAAGCCCTAGAATAACGCCAGCCAGACTAGGCTTCACTAATTTCAGATTTTACGGGAGATGGTACGTGTCAATCTGTAGTAATCAGAGTGAAGAAAATTTTTTAAATACTTTTCACTTAAAAGTAGTATTACATTCAGATCCGTAACTAGCTGTGAATCAACGGTAAGAGTTTTCGTGAAAAAATAAAATTAGGCAGACTTCAAATTCAAAGAAAGAAAACAACTATCGAATGGAATTTATATAATCAATTTCTGAAGAAGGGCTCTACCGCTCTACTTCCAGCTGCTTGAAACGTGATCAGTTTCGTTTCAATGTTTGTCGATTCCACCTTTCCCCAAAAGCTCCAAAACCGTTCAATTTTAGTACTATACCCATTCGAAACTTTGTAACTACCCATTTCGTGAAATACAAATAGGAAGACTTCAAGTTCAAAGAAAGAAAACCGCTATTGAATGGAATTTATTCAATTTCTGAAGAAGGGCTCTACTTCCAGCTCCTTGAAACGTCATTATTTCGTAAGTTAATCCAAGTACCTAAATGACACTAAATACCAGAGGTGTGGCTTAGCGTCTCAAGCTGCGTACTATTATTACGCACCTCATGATCATGTTGGACCGATATTTAGGATTGGGAGTTATCCACCTTTACTGGTTTCATAAGATTAGATTAGGGTTAGCGGTTAAGGGTTAGCGGTTAGGGTGGGGGTTGGGGTTGGGGTGGGGGTTAGGTTTAAAATTAAGGCAATGTCTTAATTTGAACGCTTTTTACAATTAAGACATAGCCTTAATTTTCGGAAGGGATCGAGCTGCCAATTTAAGTGCACGAAATATTTTCGTGACGACTTCCCACGCTAGTCTCGATAGCTCAATAGGTAGAGCGGAGGTCTAGATACCCGAAGATGTGAGTTCAAATCCCGCTCGAGCCAACGAATTTTTCGTTGGTCGATTGCAGTGTCAGATTAATATGAAACTAGTTTTTCGTATCTCTGAGGATGGTTCTGAAATAGAATTGGAACCACCTTTACTGCGATGAGCAGTATGACACTGTCACGTAAAAAATTTGCGTATTTTCGGACAACTTTTGTGGCGTGCTAGTAAAAATATATACATGTGCGCGAACTAGGGGAATAAGGGAAATAAGCATAAAGGAAAGGAAGAATCTGACCATTTTTTGTATGGGAAGTAATTTTAGATGTGGTCAGTCCAATGAAAATAATGCCTGGTCGTATCAGCAGGAAAATATAATGCTCGCCTCGGCGGCTTGTGACTGAGCCACTTTTCTGTTCTTTCCACGTTATGACGCCATATCAAATCAAATCATATTTATTTCCGTAGGGTAACCTCTTCAGTAATGTATCACTGGTATCAATGAGGGCCCATACTGTCCGGCTATCTATAACTGTACAAACAAAGGCAAAATCTTATCTATTTGTTAATTTTATATTTATATTCTTAAATCTGTAATTTAATATATAGACTGCTTATACTGTCATTTCTCAATGTTTGTCGATTCCACCTTTTCCCCCACTAAAAGCTCCAAAACCGCTCAATTCTAGTACTGTACCCATTCGAAGCTTTGGCACCACCCTTTTCGCGTTTAAAACTCGGTCCATTTTGGGAAACGAAATGATCCCAGCCTACAATAGGGCTTATTCAGAATAGCTTTTCAAACGTTTTGTCAGTTTTGATTTTGAAAACGTATTATCTTCGTGAAAGTTTGCCTATTATTTCACTCGTTATTTCATAGTTGGGGGAAATAAGATGGGGGAAATAACTTTAAAAAGAATGAAGATGCAATATAATAGTTGAAAATGCAAGAAATATATAAAAGTCAGTATAAGAAATTAGAACAGATGACCGAAATTTTTTTCGGTCCCTCAACCTACCCCGTCGACAACAATTTTGGAAATGTTTGAAAAAAAGTCGGGTAAATTTATTTCCGTCCCCCTAATTTTTTCCCTCCCGCACGCCTATGTCGACTGGTTATGGAAAGGTATTTTCCTCCTACTTTTCTTCTGTACTTTCTGTAATCTTTCTTAGACAGTTACAAAGGACAGCATACTTCGTTAAGCAAAATGTATTATTTTTAAATTTGTTTTTTGAAAAAAAAACAATGCCCGCAAACTGAGATTGGCATACTGACCGCGCAGCGTAAAAATTGTGGGGGACTGAAAGTGACGTACTATATGGCGTGGGAGGAGGGCTGACATGAAGTACACACCAAGTAAACTTTGACTCTAAGTACTACTGGCTCATGTTATCGTTGATTCGTTGTGACAATCTTGAAAAACAATGTTTTTTAAATTTGTTTTCCGACCTACCGACCTGTTTTTTTCCAAGTAAAATCCGTAAACCAATAAATAAAAAAGTCTCGCCTAAATATTGATTGATATAATATTTTTTATGGAAACACCACGTAAATTTAAATATAAATGTATGTGGTGTTTCCACAAACAAAATATTATATGTTTTATCGCCATGCAAACCTACGGCAAAGAACTTATTAAATAGATTGAGTTCACTTGGCTGGCTCAGCCGGTTCACTGCATGGGCTGGCTTGCATCGCAACTGAAAATCGTCTCAATGACGCAGGATTATAGTGCGGCAAAAAGAAACGATGGCCATAAATATAATTACTCAATTTTTTATTTGATTTTGTTAATATATAGTATAGTATAGTATATTAAATATCTTGTTAATTAAACCCAGAATATAAAACGTTTACCATGTAGCTAGGCCATATCACAGCATACATAATTTAAAACTTTGTATGAACATTATTGTAACTGAGTGTTGAAAAGCCCTTTTGGAAACCACAAAATATTGATATTTCATAATGACAGTAAAATGTTACATCCAAGTCAATAAATTGAGATTTAAGTTTTGCACATGTTCGACTTTTGATAGCAATGTATATGTGCACTGAACAAGCTTCTATACGATGACTCCCCAATTCTTTTCGACACATCTGTGATCTAAAAAAAAAACACAAAAATAGTTAAATAAAGTATTAAATAGGGCACTTACTTCTGAGCCCTAATTTGTGTGGGTGGCAAAATTTTGTGTGCGGATACTCGATTACTTCTATAGCCAATATAGTTAATTAATTATAATTGGACAAATTTCGGCATTGATTGCATGGAACAATTTTATTTGTTGCATGACGCTACAGAGTGAAATGTATTGGAAAACAACATGACAATTTGTCAATTATTTAGAAAGGTCTTTTTTACTTTTGGTAAAGCTGGAAGCCTTCGTAACGTTTCTGAGAGGAATTTGAGTTAAATTGCTAGCTTGAAAACAATTCTCAATTTCAATTCATGTGAATAACGCACAACTGTCGAAGTGTAGTTCTTGGAAAAAAGGCAACCTGCTTCCTCCCGTATACTGCCCCGCGCTGTTTGGGTATAACGGGGGTGCAGCTTCTACAAGTAAGTATGGTTCCCACCCTATCCTTAGAGTAATTAATAACTCACCACATTTGCCACATTTCCTTGGGCAATCGGTGAAAAACGTGAAATCTTCACACGCAGACTCGTCTTCTTTGGAACAATTGGGGCCTTCTGGTCTGCAATCTATAATTAATGAACATAATTGAGAAAATACTTTCGTATAAAGCAAAAATAAAGCCGGCATGCATTTGTAAAGCCATAGTGATATACTGTACGCATCTCCCTTAACCCTTAAGCTTGTGTTTTTCAATCCACTGCAACCTTATCGTATTGAAACGCAGCGCAGGGCAGTGAGAACTGATGACTTGGATCAGAGACTTCGATACATATTAGAAAACGATTCAAGTTAACGAGGGATGTACTACTATTACTCTGAAAAAACGTGCGAGGATTCTTGGGATATTTCAAAACCTTTGCAAAAATGCCCTTTATCAGGGAATTTTAATGGTATTTTGGCAAGATTTTAGCGTTTTAACTAGACGACTTTGGGATTATGAAATGAATTTCCGGGATTTTGAGATTCTTCTGTTAGTATACGTTCAGTGCGTTAAACGGTTGAATTGGAAAACAATTTTAATGTAAAGCTATACGGAATAGTCAGTTAGGGGCGGATCATTAGAAATCCCGAGAGGGGAGGGGGGGGGGGTGAAAATTCCCCCAAAAAGTCGTGCAAAGAAAAATGCCTGGAAAAAAATTCGTGCAGCCATTACGTCAGAGAAAAAAAATATCGTGCAAGCAAACAGCAAAGTGTAAATAGTCTTGAAAAAAATTCTTGCAGAGGTTAAATGCATAAAACAAAAATCCTGCAGAGACAAGAGACTGAAAAAAAAAAATCGTGCCGCAAAAATTTTATATCCCCCCCCCGGGATTTCTAGTGGTTCGCCCCTTACTACAATCTCTTTCATCTAAATGTGACCAAAAATAAACTATTTTACTGACCAAATCAGGTCGTCCTGCTGGTTTACACTATCAAAGTTTCTGTGATCACAGTTGGAATTTTGCATCGGTAAATTCTACGTTTTGAAGGATTTGTAAGAAATGGTTGAGGGATCTGACTCCGGCCGTGTTAATATATTAATACTGTGTCAGTTACTTCAAACACTTCTTACAAATCTAGCTTCATAACTTAGAATTTACCAATGCAAAATTCCCTACCGCGATCACAGAAACTTTGATAGTGTAAACCAGCTTTGACTCGATCGGACATAATTACGCTGAGACCGCGCGGGGGGCTGAAACTCATAACTAACGAAGCCGTCATTGGCTTTACGTTTCAATCAGGCCACAGTTAATAGACGTTTATTAACTGTGATCAGGCAATAGGCAATTCCAGCTTTTAATTTATGCGCGCAGGGGGTGACGGTTAGTAAGGTATCATATTGCTGATTATGCTGAAAAATTTCAATAAAAACTGCCGAAGCAACCGAAATATTTCAATATTTTACAAGTATAAGCTATCACTCAGTGTTTACACGGTCGCCAATTTTTATTTTTTCAGCAATATCGGAGCAATGTGATACCTTGTACTGTAGACTGTACTCTCATTCCAGTTAAGTATTGAGTTCAATTTTTCAATATACACTTACCCTCAGTGCACTCGTAATCTAGTAAATCTACGTCGCAGCATTCATCTACGCCAGACTGGCAAATTTCATAACCCGCTATACAGCCGAGTACGGGCGGGGTTTCAATGCACATCAGTGCTGCAAAGGAAGTAAAACAATGAGTCACCAATATAAACGGGGGCAACGGTGTATTCATAAAATTTTCAAAGGGAGCAGGCTTGAGAAAATATCAGAATTTTTTTCAATTCTATTGGGCCTCCGATGAAACACGATTTCTATGTGATGATATTTAACAATCACTGATTTTAGTGGAGGTGAATATTCTTGCACTATTCACCGACATTGAGGTGAATAATTATTTTAGCATAGTACCACAACAAAACAAAAATGACAAAAAAACCCATATTTTTTTGTTAAATGTTTACTATCGGAGCTACTATCTAGTATTTAACAAATATCAAACATTTATTCCGGCCTGTTGATACAGTTAGCTATATCAACACGAGTGGGAATTGGGAAAAGGAGTTCGGGTGGAAACTATGGCATTGATCTCTTTTTAAAATGGAAACGACTTTGCCTGAAACAAGACTAGCAAAACTTAGTATATATTTGAGTGAAATTTGCAAGCCATTATAGCGTTGCATAATTGATATAACAAGGCAGGAAACTTTGTCGGTTCGCTATAAATGTAAGTTAAAACTCAGAGACTCTGGTTAAAACTGTAATTGTCTCGAACATTTGTATGTATATTATTAATACGTAATAGGATGTGGTTTCTTGTGAAATTTGGATAAAACAAGCACTCCTGAATTTTTCAAAGACCTCAAATGGCACTCGTCCTGGTCGCGCTATTTTGATGCTCTTTGAAAAACTCACTCGTGTATATGTTTTATCCAAAATTGCACTCAAAACCATCCATTACCTCGGTAGGGACATAGCGACCCCCCAACTGCGAAACCCAGGCAAAAATCAGGTAAAATTCAAGTTAAAATTATCATTTCATGAGGTACAATTTCGGCGTAATAAAGTAATTATTTTTGTGATACTGGAAAACCATTTTTGTAAAATACAGTCAATTTACATCCGTTTTCGAATTTGCTTTAGAAAACGCCAGAAATAGTCCTATAGAGCTTCAAAAATGCCAAAACTTAACTCTGGGGGAGGACCCCCAGACCCCTCTTTTCTTGTGAGACTTAGTATAACAGTGCAAATCAATTACAAAAACCCAGTTTATTAGAATTATTACACTTCAGGTAAATTTTTAACATTGAAGTTCAAATTTCAGGTAAAATCCTCTGACAGACAGCCCCCGATCTTCAGTTGCTTTGCTACGTCCCTGATTACCTATACTAATAGTTGACAGTAAAACCGAAAAAATGTACAGTTATCTAATTAACTTACTTGAGTTTGAGTAAGGTGAAGAACAATGATATTGGTGGCAGCATTCAGCGCTCGTTGTGCATTCAATGTGATAACCTTTGCAGGTTGTACTCGAGGTTCCATTCGCTTTCGTCGGCGCGCCATCCAACCGCTTATCTATATCATAGTCCAAAAGGTAGCATAGAACATTTAGTAAATGATACCTTCTCAAGTAAAACTTAATCCTAACCTTGATTATGCGCCCTGTATTTTCTATGTGATTAAGGCTGGTCAATTTAACACAAGTTCCAAGTTTTTCAAGATTTTTTTAAAAAATAGTTTTTAAAAAAGTTTTAAAAAGTTTTAAAAGAGTTTTGAAAAGCAAAAAAAGTTTAAGAAGTTTGATTTTTAAAAAAGTTTAAAAAATTTAAAAAGTTAGGGTTAGGGGTTAATGGTTAGGGGTTAGTGGTTAGGGTTGGGGTTGTGGTTAGGGTTAGTGTTAGGTGCCGCGAATTTATTATTATGATAAATTCAAAATTTGCCGCGAATGTATCATAATGATAAATGCGGACGTGTTTAAGAATTTACTCATATAGTAAATTCAAAGGTGGAGCTCATGTTGGTATAAAGTCACTCCACGTGACATATTATGGCTGACATGATTTTCCACAAGGTTAATGAATTATTAAAGGAATGGCAATATATTTTTTTATTTTCTCATTTGAAAGAACTTTTGAAACTATTTAATAACTTCTTTTACCGATTCTTCATATCTTGCTTTTTATCTCATTAACGGTAGTTTTGGTGACGTCACAACAGGGATTAACCATATAAAAGTATTCGTTGTTGACCAAATATTGATTGGTAGATGTTTTAAAGGTTTCAAGTGATCTTGATATTTCCAAGGGCATACGGAGTATAATTTTGAGTGCAAAATAATTAGTGGTTGTCTAGATTAAAATATTGCATGACCCCTGTTGTGACGTAACATGCATATCTACAAAAATCCAAGATGGCGGACATATAATTTCTTTCGATTAAAATATTTGTAGAAGTAAGCAAGATATGAAAAAACGGTAAAAGAGTTTTATATATGGTTTTAAATGTTCTTTCAAACGAGAAAATAAAAAAATATATTGCCATTTCCCTTTAATGAGTATTTTAACTGAGTTTCACTGAAAAACTCATTAATAATTCATGAAGCAATTATCCAATCTTGAGTAAGAAATTAGTCGCGTGCATACGTCTTTATACCAGCTAAAGAACACTTTAACAAAGGACCATTGTTATGCAAACTATATAAAGACTTTTATATAAAGATTTTTATATAAAGATTTTTATATAAAGATTTGACTTATTATGCAAACGTTTTTGAAGCCATAAAAAACTCGCAGGTCGTGTTTTATTAGGTCTAAAGCCACTCGCGCTGCGCGCTCGTGGCTTTAAACCTAATAAAACACTCCTGCTCGTTTTTTAAATAGTACTTAAAGTCTTTAGAGTTCGAAATAACCTGCCCCTGGGTAAATTGTCTAGGGAGAGGATAAGGGGAGAGGGGCTAAATTTTGAATGGGGTTCCCTTGACTTAGGACGACTGACGACCTTCCCTCGAAACGTCGAAATTCTCCTTATATTTTTCAGGTATATAGTTGCATTCGTACAAACGAAAGTTTGTGCGAACTTAATTCTTAAAGTAAAATACATAAATGAATAAATAAAGCAACATGGTAATACATACAACTATCAGGCACTGAGCGACTGCATACAAGTCCAAGTAGAACAGCAACCAGCAACACAAAAATTTTCATCATGTTCAAAATATATTACTCTTCGATGAGTTCGATTCTTCTCAATTTTGTTCACTAACTTTTCTTCAGCGCTTGCTTGAACTGTCCACTGAGCTATTCTACTGGCTACTATATATATACGCGCTTGTGCACGGGCTGGTCGCTGACGACATCACAGCTCAACGGAATTAACGGCTTTGACTGTATTTTTTAAGTATCCGTCATTTCAATGACGCTGCATGGTTTCCGCCTAACAGACATTTTTAGAATAATGATGTCAAACGCGGCAAAAAACACTTAACTTAATGCGATCAGGCCCAAGGGACACGTGTTTTTTATGAAATTTATTGGCTCGCCAAATCGGTTTGACGTAATTGATTTAATTGAATTTTATGCATGATATTATTTAAAAGATTTTCCATTTCATCCAACATGTACTAGTTAAAACATGAGCAGCCAGGCGAGAGTTTGTATATCAGATAAAGATCGGATGCAAATGTTTTAACGTACCGGAGTTCATTGGCGAAGTAATTTTGAAGAAACTGAAGTTTATGTAAATTAGGACAAATTTTTATCCGATTTACAAACATTGATTAAACATTCATTTCTTTTGAATTTTCTTCATGAATTATTAATGCTTTTTTAACGGCAACATACGAATATCAAATAAAACCTTATGATTTATTTTACATCTATCAAAATATCAAGCACCGTGTCCTTTGACGTGGCCCCCATTTCTCTCAACACAAAGGATATACAACAAAGATATTGTAATGGTTAAGTATTTGTAGATCAGTGATTGTAATGTGCATGTATAGCTGCATGTCAATATTTTATGAACGTATGCATGATTGCATGGGCGATAATTAACGGAAATAATGCTAATTAACACATGCAGCCAGTTATCTTGTTTAAGTGTTCTTGGCCAATATAATTTAATTTATCGTTTTCAATCAATTTTATTGTGTAAAAAACTGTCTGTTAGAGAAATCGAATATATAAAACATCAGTGCTTATAAACCATAAGTTAAAAATGATGACGTAAGGCATGGCCGGCTCTCCCCCCTAATTTTTTTCGGAGTGCAATTTTAGATTCGATGAAAAATTGGGGAGAGAGGAAACACAAGTTGTCAGCGTATCTTGCGCGCATTTGCTCATAGAAACTAGTGAACATTGTTGCAATACAAAGCTCTATGTGACTATACAGCATGAGCTCCACCTTTGAATTTACTATATGAGTAAATTGTTAAACACGTCCGAAATTATCACTACAACAAATTCGCGACACATGTTGAACGCTAACCCTAACACAAACCCTAACCCTAATCTTAATCTAACCCTAATCTAATCTTTATCTGACGTTAATCTAAAATTGATGACCTTTTTATATATTTTTTTTAATAAATTGTTGCGAATATATTGTATTAATAATTTCGGACGTGTTTAATCATTTACTCATATAGTAAATTCAAAGGTGGAGCTCATGTTGGACTATATGGCTCCTTGTTAGGTGATTTATTAAGACCTTCTCCAAGTGTCTCTACAATGCAGGAAATGCCGTTTTATTAGGCAGTATAAAACCTTCCCAAAATCTTACGAAATTGAACTTAAAACGTGAGAGGCGTTGCCCTGCAGTTCAAATGACGTATACGGTGACCGGACACTGGACACATCAGTTCCCGTTCGGAAGTGCACCGCATGCCCGCCATGTTTTTATCACGTTCGCGTTGAGGTACGCTCTCGCAATTCACAAGATACCTTTTGCGGAAAGTGCTTAGCATCGGCTATATATAGATACTCGTTTTGAGGATTGAGATTTTGGCTTCAGAGACCTTTAAATTTTGCTCGAAATCATATCAGTCTGTATAAATTATAAAATGCGTATCATATGACATGTAATGTGCACGCATCAGCGCATGCGATTGTTGGCAACTTCAGTAAAACTTTCATCGCCGATAGAAGGCCATTTTTTATTTAATTATGTATAACTACTGGGCAGTAGGCCCATTGCTTGCCCGGTTAAAACTGAACACTATATAGTTGTTACTTGTTCGGCAGAGAGGGGGTTTTGAACTAAATTTTATTTAGCGCATGGAATTGTGGTCGTGCGCGCTTTCTATGTGCAGAACACAAATTTTAAACTCGCTCGAGTCTTCGAATTTTTATGGAATTTCTAAAGCATTTCAAGTCTAATGTTACGCTTACATTTGTTTTGGACTTTGGCCACTGTCAGTTCTATATTTTTATAAAGTTTTGGTTTCTTAGTGTCTGTGTGATAAATAAATGCGCCTAGCTCAAGCAGTAAACAGACTTGATATGAAATCTGATCTTAATTTACCTGTATGTCAATGAGACGCACATGTTTAATATCTGTCACCTCTGATTGCCTTTAACCCCTGGTCTTTGCTACTTCAATATATATTGCTTCTTCTCAGTTCCATTCACAAATCACAGCTCACTAGTCGCTGCGAGTAATCACTGTGCTTGATATAATTTGTGCTGTTTACTCTAGCTCTATTTGCTTTTAATGACCGCAGCAATCCCTACCTTGCAGGTACCCTAGTTATGTAACTACTGGGGCATCTACCCCAGTAGGCCCATTGCTTGCCCGGTTAAAACTGAACACTATATAGTTGTTACTTGTTCGGTGACTATAGATGCTTTTTAAAGCCAATTCTTTAATTTATGTTCATGATTATATATTGTATATTTGCTGCCGCAGCGAGCGAGCATAATCATTAAGCGAGCGAGCAAGGCAGCAGACTAAAATCGTACAGCTACTCAAATGTCAAAATCTCAATCTTGCTAGAGCCGCAAAGCATGCTGGTTGAAAGTTTATTTTACCAACATGCAACGCGCGGCTATATGATGAACTCCATTCGAGCACGTGTTTTCTTTTTCTCGAGAGTTGAGAGCCGACAAACGAAGGTTAGTAACTGAACAAGGGTACCTGCAAGGTAGGGATTGCTGCGGGAATTAAGAGCAAATAGAACTAAATAGTACAAATTACTGACAAAGCACAATTATTACTCGCAGCCGAATGCATTGCTTTTTCTCAGTTGGTTCGCTGAGCGAAGGAGCAATGCATTTGTTGCCAAGACCAGGGGTTAAAGGGCAATCACAGGTCATTGAATATTTGCGTGTTAATGTTAATGTTTTATGTTTTTGGAAGTAATATTCACTAAAGCATCGGCAAGAATATATCAGGTGGAATCTGTTGAATTACGCGCTGCTTTTATAGTACGCTTACAAATACAAACGACAGATACTATCGGATTTCAGATATTATCAGGTATTACGTTTTCTGCTATGCGCATTTACCACATATTAAGTTAAATTTATATCACAGTATTAAACTGATTAAAAGTCACGGCTGCCACCGTTTCGATTTTACTGTATTTTAGATAGTATTCACACGTTCGGTAGTGAGTCACAGCGTTTCGATTTTACTGTATTTTAGATAGTATTTTAATACGTTTCGCAGTTTAGGCTCGCTTCAAATTTTGTATTTGCATATTTCGTATATGCGGTAACACATCTTTGATTTGCATACATGCACTAAACAGTATTTTAAAACGTTTTTGGCGCGTGCTTCTTAAAGGCAGCATTTACTACATTTTAGGTAACCTAGTTTATTTAGACGCGAGAGACTATTATCAGAAATTACAAAAGTATTGATTTTTTTACTAGCTCGAAATGTGTTATTTGCGTGTTTCTTATTAGGTTAATTAACAATGAGAGTCGGGCAACATCGGTTCTGAATCCATGACCCGGAAAATGATAGGACCTCGTAAAGTAGTTTGCCCCAGCAGTCGTTAATCCTTGATGGGGAGCCAAGATTTTTCCGAAGATCACGAAAAACAAAGCGACTGAGTTGATAACGCGATAACTCAGCAATATAAAGCTGCGCGCGAGGGGCAATTCACTCCAAAAATCCCGTACACTTCGTCAAAAAATCCGGAAAAAATCCAGAAAAAATCCATGAAATCCTCAAAATCCGTTGAATCCATCAAAATCCTTTAAAAAACACAGAAATCCTTCAAAAATCCACAGAAATCCTTCAAAATCCTTAAAAAATCCGCAAATCCACAAAAAAAAATATGAAGTACTTGGTGTAATTTACTCGTAAAGGTTCTTTGCCACGTTCAAAATGGCGGGCAGCGAAAGCTAAACGCTTACCGTGATCGCTGTCATTATATTTCGTAATTATTGGACCACTCTACATTTCCATTTATACGCTCGATAGGCTTATTTATTATAGGCTTTTTTTAGCCTATTACTACTAAATATGTGTTCTTGTTACAATGACGTTATGTTGTAAAATATAATTACAAAACCAAAAGTTATTCACCATTGTCTTTTACTGTTTTTGAAAGAATAATGAACTCGTTTGAATTTTAAACAAAATGACTGCATGCCCAGCCTTCGTTAGTTTCAGAAAGCTGTGGTCCTAGTCCCAGTCCTCTGCTCGACCCTGACGTCCTGGCATAACGTTGACATCGTACAACTTAAGATTATTTGTTCAAAACGTTACCTAGCTCTATAACTCTATAATTAAAAAAAGTCCAGAAAAAATCCGAACAAATCCGCAAAATCCAAACAAATCCGGAAAATCCAACAGATTTTCAAAAATCCAGAAAAAATCCGGAAAATCCGAACAAATCCGGAAAATCCAGCAAATTTTCTCTCAAAAATCCGCTAAAAATCCGGGAAAAATCCGCTAAATCCGCTAAAAAATCCGCGGATTTTTAAAAATCCGAAAATCCCGTACGCTTTTTTGGAGTGAAATGCCCCTCGGCTGCGCGTACATCTTCAGAAAGTTAGATATACAACGAGAAATTGTTTTTATTGCTCATATTAGCCCCCAGGGCTGATTAGCCCCAGTGACCTTGTGATGTCACCTGATACATCGCAACCAATTTGAAATATTAACCACAAAAAGATATTGCTTTTGACTGTAAAAAGGAGACGAACATGCAGTCTTTTGCAATGTGAATAAGTCGACCCCATACGATCTTGATTTTGGTTAGTTATTTGTTTCAGTCAACTTCTAAATCATGACCATACGGCAGCACTTCCCCTTGCGATAGTCATATTCCTGCTTATGTAGTCATGATCATGTTTCAATGTTTTTTTTTATTTATTTTTTATTCACCCATATAGAATACCATTATTTACATAAAAGGAAAAAAAATAAAATAAATGTTTGTCGATTCCACCTTTTTTCCAAAAGCTCCAAAACCGCTCAATTTTAGTATACTATGCCCATTCGAAGCTCTGGAACTATATTTTTTGTGAAATACAAATAGGAAGACTTCAAGTTCAACTGAAGAAAGAAAACAGCAACTGAATGGAATTTATTCAATATCTCACAGATATGAAGGGCTCTACTTCTAGCTGCTTGAAACGTCAATAATTCATAGTTGAAGTACTTAAATAACAGAACTCAGAAGTGTTAGCTTCTCACAGTGATTGATACAAACAATCTTTATATTGTTATACGCATACACCTCATGGTCATGTTGAACCAACAATATTGTTAATATTTTGGATTGGGAAGTAATTGTGACTAGACTATAATATTTATGATATTGCTCACACAAAGTCACAATGCATCAAATAGCGTTCATTTGTAAACGTTAATTAGAATATATTTAGAAAGACTTCAAGCTCAAAGAAAGAAAACAGATATTAATTGAATGCATGGAATTTATTCAATTTCTGATGAAGGGCCTACTTCTAGCTGCTTGAAATGTCAATATTTCGTAAGTCAATCCAAGCCTTAGCGTTAATTTGTAAACGTTAATTAGGAAATAACAATGCTTTTCTGGGAGAGGAACATGCCCCCAGTCCCCCTAGAGAATTCTCGCACCTTCGGGCTTCGGCGTTTGTCTCGAAAAATTTCAAATCCTAGTTACGGTCATGTGGGCATTATAGGAGCCAAACGATTGCGAGACATGGTTTTATTCGTTCAGTTTTCTTATAAGTGTCAACAGTTTCGGTTTATGCTGTCCTGTAATTCTTAGTGAAAATGGTACTCGCTGAAGCGTAGTACAGCGCTGTTCAGTACGATTTTTCCCAGGGCGCTTATATATATAAGCGCCCTGATTTTTCCCATTATCAGTTTCTATTAAGAGAGTTCACAGGGCGTCTATAGATTCCATTTTAAGTTCCCCAACAATTTTCAGACCAAATCCCAGTCCCAACTGGCCAACTGTGAAATTGAAAGGAAATACAGGAACAAGTTCACTAGATTCTGTCAGTGTGTGATGCCTTTTAGAACGATATTCTGCGTTTAATTGCTCGGCTCTTTTGAGAATTACAATTTTCCCGAGTGAAATTAAGGTAAATCATAGACAAGTTCGCCTTGGAAATTTTTCCATATTTTTTTAATTCACAAACCGGAATGCTGAGAGGGATGCAAAGTCAAAGACGAACCCGAGCGGAACCGCGCGAAATAAAGTGACGTTATTTGAAAAGGACTTTGCGAAAGTCTACGTAAATCACTGACTGCGATAGCAGAAAAACGATCTCATCGTTAAATGCAGTTCACCTGGACTTTTTTGCCTTTTTGGACACATTCCGCTATCGCAAATTGCTTTGTAGCTGTTTTTAATGTTGGATCTGAAATGTCTGACTGCAACTGTCTTTATAATGGTACACGGTTTTTCCAATTTCCATTTTTGTGTTTCAGTTCATTCCCTGATTCTCAGCCCCTATTTTACTCCTATGACCCGTCACCCACAGGCAAATCGCAGTTTTTATTTTATACCCCTTCAGGGGGGAGCCAGCCTATAAGATGATAAGGACGTCTGGGAAGGGGGACCACTTCTCTGGCAGCTTGTGCAAATGGCGGCAGATAGCGTTTTTTTTCAACCTTAGGCCTGTTTTATACGTCGAATTTTGGTCGCGTTGAATGCAATTCAAACAATAGATAATGAAGCTTAACTCATTATCTATTGTCCTAATTGCATTCGACGCGCCCAAAATTCGACTATAAAACAGGCCTTAAAAAGGTTTGTAAAAATTGAAAAAACCTGAAGTCTCCTCGTATTGTCCTCCTGATAGAAATTGTAGTCATTATTAATTCAAAATTCGAGGTTTCTTTAGTATTCTTTCATCGCAAAAATTGCACGAGGTTAACACCGAATTTAAAAACAATGAGTTTCGACACATCGTTTACGTATATTTTGAAGGGCAAATTAACAAAAATTCGAGGGCCGAATATTTAGATTCTTGTAGACTCGGGACGCGCAAGCAACTTGCAAGCCAGGGCTACCAATTGATGATTACCCTTATTACGTTTTCATAGCGCTTTGCATTCTGGTGTAGTGGTATCACTAATATTCAAGATGGCTTATTTTTTTCCTGCCCGTGCAAGAACTTTTAAAAAAAGGTATAGGGTCAAGTGCGCGATAGCTAACAGCAAAATATTCGCGAAAACATTCAATATTTTCATTCGAGGCCGCTATCTTTATCAATGATACCACTATAACCACAATGCAAAGCGCTACGAAAACGTAATAAGAGGAATCATCAATTGGGAGAATGGGAGGGAAGCGGAAGTAGAGAGCCTGGCTTGCGAGGTTGGCCGTGCAAACAGGTTTGCGTAAAGAATTGGGTCCTAGTTAAGCTACGGATACACGGGCAATACTTTTCTGGCGATGGCAATGCAATGGTGGTAAAATCGTTGCATTGCCGTCGCGAGAAAGAAATTGCTTGTGTATCATGCTCTGCGACGGCAATGCAAAGCTGCGCACAATCGTCGCCGAAATTTCAAATCATTTGATTTTCGGCAATGATTGCCGAAAATTGGGAGGTGTGGTCAAGGAAGGTCAAGGTTGATGAATGACACGTTTCTTGACCAGCCAATGAAAAGCGTTATGAAGACATATATTGCAGGTGAAATATTGCAGGTGTAGCCACCTTGTGCGACGGCAACAATATTGCTCGTGTATCCGAAGCTTTATTTCCGCGCATGTGCACAACAAAAGTTACCGCAAAGTATGAAAATATGAAATTGTTACATTTAGCGCATTTTGATGCTTTATAAATTATAAATTATCAATATTCAAGAATACTGACCGCACTACATTCGAGGCATGTTTCATACTTACTGATTATATTACAGTAATAATTTATAAATTATAAATGAATTGTTCGCTATAAGCTTTATAGTTGTTTACACCGTACATGTATTTATTTGTATATTTTTATACAGTTTATATATTGACAATTAATGTTGTAAATAATTGTAGTTTTGATGCAGGACTAGCTCGAGCTCATGGATAAATACAATTATTAATATTTTATTATTATTTATATTATTTATGTTAAATAGATGGGGGCCAAATGTCCGTGAAGTTTGGAGCTAGTTTGTAGCGCGATTCAAGGCCATTGAACGGCTGCATCTACGACCCAGTCGACCCTTCTATAATATACGAAATAAACAAATAAGTAAGATGGATATCTTTAATCAGTGGCGAAGCTGGCCACGGCAATTGATCATGCTATGCTAATAAACCTGCATAATACATTTCTAAAAGTTTGAATAATGCAAATCATTAAAAATTTGCATAGCATATTAGCATGACCTGTTGCATAAAAAGAGCAGTAAGAATTTTTTTAGTATTTAGCACTATTTTAAAGCGTTTTATATATAGTTGCAATGTCTGATAAATGTCTTATTTTGATAAATTGTCACAATATCGATAAATAGGGCATGTAATAAAGGGAAACTAAACCGAAACAAGGGAAAAGCCGGAAGCTTACAGACTCGGTCAAAAACTCAAAATACAATAACCTTTCCGCTTCTGTAATCTGTTGTAATTTTCTGTAAATTGTTCTGTTTTTCTGTACCGGTTACAGTACCAAATTAGGAGCAAATATGGCGGAAAAATTTGGTTGTCTTTGTTTCATATGATATAAATTTGTAGCAATTAAAGGCTAGGATATGAGTATATAAATTATTAATAAAGGACAATGGTAACGAAAATTTTTATTGGCTAACCAAACTATGAAAATATTATCATTTCCTTCTCGAACATTTTAGTCTACGAATAAAATGCATGCAAACTTGTTTCGCCGCCATCTTGAAAAAAATTTTTGAAAAATTATCTCGAAGATCAATGAACTTTGTGATGTCATTGGCTGGGTAGCACAAAAACTACAAGAGAGAATTCTATTGCGTGCGTGTTATGTTAGGTAAAATATGTCGTTTTGAGCGTTATACTGGCCAACACTCTTCGCAATCAAACAAGAAAAGTCTACACTATCAGATAAAAACATATCGAGCGACTGGGAAAGCCAGGAATGGCCCAATTTACAATACAGGTAATTGATCATAAAATATTGCATTAGTATTTGTCTTGTTACACTCGAATTTCTGCGCTTATTTAACACGGAGTAGGATATATACTATGCGAAATAGTGTTACAAACAAGTTACATACTTGGTAAAACTTTTCTACCTTTTGTTTTGGCTCAAAATGCACTACTTTATAGTCATGAGATTTCGTCTACCCAGCCAATGACGTTAGATAAAATATTTTGTGGCATGAATTAGCATAGTATACGCGCTTATTTTCAAAATGGCGGACAACTGTTCAACTTTTCTCAAATTCAATAAAATTTTCTCAACAACTAAACACGACAAACCGGCCAAAATATGAAATTAAATATTCCGTGAGTATACCTAATAGATATAAGTAATAAAAATGTTGGTTGCCAATGTTTTTTAAGGTCAAGGTTTGTGTTGCTATATCCTATAGATTCCAACTACCAGTGTCACAAACATACCAATACTGTATATACCATAGCTGAAAAATTATATCGGCATTTTGGCGAGTAACATTAGAAAAGAACCATATATACATAATTATAATGATAATTATGTATTGCTTAAAATTGTCACAAGCATATTCAATAGTTCAAACCCTAGCCTTACAAAAGAAATCCAGTTGGAATTTTAATCATTGGAAATGCTGCCATTCTAATTAGAATTTTAATTGGATCTTTTCATACAGGAATTAGTGTTTTAATTATCTAAAGAGTTGTGTGCCAAGTGCCAAATGTATTGTTTACACCAGTTTATTTAATGGATTAAATGGAAGGCTTTAATTCTGTCATGTCTTCCTGCATGAGCCATGCACTGATTATTGTTAGGTATTTCCGGTGCAAGTTTTCTCCAATGACCTTTTCTTTTCTGGAATAACCCATTATGTCCATTATGCAGGGCCGTAGCAAAGAGGCTATTTTAAGAAGGGGTACAGGGTTGGTGGTGGGGGGGGGGTGTAGTATCGCATTTGCAGACAACATTTCAGTCACAGTAATAGACCTGGCTTATGCATAATGACATCACAAGGCTTGATGCCACCGAGGAATGCTGGTCTTAGTAGTCATCACCTGGGAAAATTTCAATAGTGGCCATTTTGAATTGTTTAATTTTCCCGAGCGATGACCACTAAGAAAGACCAGCATTCCTCGTGGGCATCATAGCATTGTGCATAATGATGCATAAGGTCTATTAATATTTCCCCCCAAAATTGTTGGCGAGCAAGTTGGCAGGTGGGAGGCAGAAATTTTTTCAGACACCCATTAATTATGTATCGTAATTTGTTAACTTTTTCCGTAATTTTCGTTAATTTTGCGAAATTTTTGCTATAACTATTACTTTTTATGTACTCTGAGGCACTCAAATATTTTTGCTGACTACAAAAACATTTTGCTGATGAATCCGAAAACAATTTGCCGAGTCAAGCAGACATTTACCAAGTCCATGATGAATGGGGGTGTTACACCCTCAAAAGCACCCCCCCCCCCACTAGCTACACCCCTTACCTAATGCAATTATAAACTACAATTTAAATTTACTAATCATTAACCCATTGAGCCGCAATGTGCCCCAGTGTGCCCTACGTATTTTTTTACTTGTCTATAAATGTCAGAGTGTCAGACGATTTTACTCGTCAATGGTGAAGCTCTGCAGCTTAAGGGGTTAAAATAAATAATACAATTTGAGAAACTTGTTTCCCATAATTATATCTTTTGTACCATAATTAACAGGGCAGCGCCACTGTGGTCATCGACTACCAACTTTAGTGGAACATATTCAAAATATTTTGCAAAAGTATCCTGATGGAGGGCAAATTCTGAAGGTAAGTAATTACAAATTATTCTGAACTACTGTAGTTCAGGAACATTTTGTATGCTATTAAATATCCACATATGAGAAAATAGAATGCTGGGTTTTGGTGAGCATTTATACACACAATTGAAGACCTAACCACACTTAAAGGTCCTCTGGCACAGCTCTCTGCAATTAATCTGGTGCAGTGCTCGATCTGCGGTCACCGTGGTAGATTACCCTCTTCATATTTATAATACAATTACTATATATAACTACCATTTCTATTCAATACTTCTTTCCTAATTTGTCTTTACATGTGCTCAATTTTTAAGTAGAATTTTCAAAGTTTTACTGATTGTTTTTGGGGGGGGGCTTAGTCTCTCTTATTCCTACTTTTAAAAAGTTGGGGGGCTCTTAGTCCCACCTTCCCTTTTTGGGAAAAAATGGGGCCCCAAATTAAAAATTTGCCCCGAGCCCCAAAATTTCTCAATGAGGCTCTAAATATAAAACCTGAAAATGTTTCTAGTACGTAGCCTAATAAGGTCTCTGGCACAGCTTAAATTTGTGCTGTAACTACCTAGTATATACATGTTTTAAAGTTTGTTTGTTCACTGCAACCGGGTATATCAATCATGTTTCGCTCGCTACTCTGGTTTAAATATTTAATTACAAAGCCCAGTCGAATTGTAATCAAGACCCAACGTTTTGACACTCCAGTCTAGTGTCTTCATCACGGGTGATATGACGGTGCCTATTTGCCAGAGGAATACACACATCTCATTGGCAGGTGACGTCATCTCTTGGGGGTATTTAAGAAGCCATAATTGTAAGTTTGTAACTTTAGACCACCCCTGATGAAGACACTATATAGACTGGAGTGTCGAAACATTGGGTCTTGATTACAATTTGACTGGGCTTTGTAATAATTTATTTAAACCGTTAAACCAGAGTAGCGAGCGAAACATGATGGGGGGCATGACAGTATATACATGTATTATTTTTATTGTCTGTCTTTTAATTAACCATTTATGCACCATTTATGGTGGAGCTGCTGCAACCAAAAGAAGCTAGGCTTAGGTTCCTAAATGGCTAAATGAACCTATAGTAGGCAAACCTTAGGTGAAGCTTGTTCTTATAATATCCTGACTAAACAATTTAATCTAAACTTAAAATATATACCTTATAATAATAGATCATAAATAGATTGCAAGGCAGGCAAATAAGCAGTGCATTTTAATGGGAACAATTTTATTTCTACCCGGACACCCTGAGGAACAAGTGGTCTAAACCACAAAAAATTAAGGAAAAGTTAATGAATTAGAACTAGCAGCTGAAAAAGACCCGAACTCTTTTTGGAAAGTACTAAAAACAGTTAATGATGATATAACTAATGACAAAACTACTACTCCCATTTCTGAGGCAAAATGGCTGTCCCATTTTACAAAATTACACTCAAAACATACTCTCAACAAAGAACAACACGATATGATTGAAACTTTGCATATCAAGGAACAAAATAGAAACCAATTCAATAATCTAGACCAAGTAATTTCAGAACAAGAAATTGTTAATGCAATTAAAAAACTCAAAAGAAATAAATCCGCATACTCGGATAGAATAAAAAATGAGATGATAAAATGTAGTATACATATCCCAGATGTGTGGTGTGAAGGTCTAATTACTCCAATTTTTAAATCCAATGACAAGCTTGATTATAATAACTACAGAGGAATTTGCATTTCTAGTTGTCTCGGCAAATTTTTCTGTGTAATACTGAATAAAGGGTTACACAATCATACACGTGAAAAAAACATAATCCATCCATCTCAGATCGGATTTTTACCTGGATATCGAACAGCTGATCATATTCTTACATTGAAATCATTGATTGATAAATACGTTAATCAAAAAACAAATGGAAAGATATATGCATGCTTTGTCGATTTCAAAAAGGCATTTGACTCTGTTTGGCACAATGGCTTACTATTAAAATTACTTAGAAATGGGGTTAGTGGCAATGTCTATAGCCTAATTAAAAACCTTTATTCAAAATCAAGATGCGCAGTAAGGCAATCAAAACATAGTACCTCTTTTTTCCCATATTGTAAGGGGGTACGTCAAGGATGTATTATAAGTCCTATATTATTTAACATATACCTAAACGACATACCATCATTGCTTGATAACAAAGATTCTGACCCACTCACACTCCCAAATTGTACAAACTGAATTGTCTGTTCCCGACGATCTGATAATATTATCTAGATCGAAAATTGGCCTCCAAAGCTGTTTAAACCAGTTAAACAACTGGTGCAATAAGTGGATGATGGAGGTTAATTTAAAAAAAACTAAAGTTATGATTTTCCAGAAACCAATGTCAAAACAACAAACTCCACAATTTCTATTTGCAAACAAAATACTTCAAGTAACACAAGATTACAACTATTTAGGTCTTAAACTTACAACCAATGGGAAATTTACCATAGCAATGAAACAACTTGCTGATAAAGCAAAACATGCTATGTTCAGCACAAAGAAAAAAGTTGATTTTCACTCACTGAATCCAAATTAACTAGCAATCAAAATTTTTTACAGTATTACTGTATCTCGCCAATACTTCTATATAATTCAGAAGTATGGGGTGCATTCATCAATAGCGATCTTAATAAATGGGATCAATCCGAAACAGAAAAAGTTCATTCCACAGGGTTCGTACGGGTCCTGGAAACCAGGAAAGTCAAGGAATTTCAATATTCCAAAATCCAGGCCTGGAAATCCTGGGAAATCAATTTTAGTCATGGAAAGTCATGGAAAGTTGAAATTTTACATAGCATTAACAAAGTATTTTACTTATTTCAATTTACCAGTCATAACAATAATATGAATTGTTGTTATATACTGTAACGGATTTTTCCAAGAGCAAAGTGAATTTTTTTTCTTTTATTATATCTGTTATCGTTAAAGTATTAACGAATTTCAGAAATTCCAGACTTCCAGGTCATGGATTTTGAAAAAAATGGTCATGGGAAGTCATGGAAAAGTCATGGGATTTTAAATGTGAGAAGGTGTACGAACCCTGATTCCAGATTCTGCAAACTATACTTAGGAGTTAATAGAAAAGCAACAAATGTAGCGTGTAGAGGTGAATTAGGAAAATTTCCTCTATTAATAACCATACACAAAAGAATAATCAAATACCTTGCACACATTAATACCCTTCCTGACTTCACTATTGTGAAACAAGCATTCCTAATCTCCAAAGAACTTTATGAACTGAATAAACCCGGTTTTTACTCCAATGTCATGAAGATACTTAAATCATACTAGTACGTAAATGATGAACTAAATGAATCAGAATCTATTACTATTCATCAACAAAGTCAATTTATAAGCAATGCTAAAAATAAATATGTCACCTTTTGGAAACATAAGTTAGACAATTCCTCCAAACTCTCTTTCTACAGCACATTTAAATCTGAATATAAGTTAGAGAACTACCTTACAACTATAAGAAACACATCTCAAAGAAAAGCAGTAACTAAATTTCGAATAAGTTGTCATAAGTTACAGATTCAATACGGTCGATATCACAACATCCCCCGTGAACAACGCTTGTGTAATCTCTGTGATACAAACGAAATTGAAGATGAATATCACTTTGCACTATCTTGTAACTACTACAGAGAAGACAGAAACACCACAAACAATATATTACAAAGTTAGAATGTTTGCTGAGTTGTTGACAATCACAGCACGGGCGGATTTACTTGGGGTTAGGGGGTGGGGTTAAACCCCCTTAGAATCTTCGTAACCCCTCTAATAAAGTGTTCAGCCCTACCAAAATTTTGCGTCACCCCTCCTATTTTGTGTGAAAGGCTTTAACCCTAACGTCTAACCCCTGCCGAAGCTCACTGAGAGGTGCCGCTTGCACCCCACCAGAAATTTTTCTACCCCTCCTTTTAAATAAATGAAAAGCTGCCCTTGAATCATGCAATACTTATTAAAACAGGATGTAGTTTTAAGAGCATGTACTCTGACTGCATGTATGCATTTATATATAGGTGCACATACAGTGACCCACAATTAAATACCCTGGGTTCTACAATTAAATTAGTACTACAATTACAAAGCATGCATGTATGAAAACAGGATGTGGAAAAGCATGCATTTATACGGATTTATTTATAAGGTTGGGTTACTCTTGTTCACTGGTACTTGACCGCCATATTTTAATAGGAACTGATCCAGAATGCAGATGACGCAGGAGCAACTGAAGTCAGTTTTCTTTTTGATGAACGAATTTATGGAGTCGAATCTTTGGAAAATCCCGAGCTTGCTCGCTTTCAAGGCCCAGCTCTTTACTGTCACAACAATGCCATATTCAAAGAGCAAGACTGGGAAGGTATTCGCAATCTCATGAAAAGTAACAAGAAAGAAGATCCTTTGAAAATTGGCCGTTTTGGTATTGGGTTTAATTCAGTTTATCATATAACAGGTATTTAAGGCTAAGCGTTCATTGTACTATGTATGGACAGCGTGTCGCTGAGTAAATTTCCAGTTGAAATTGCTTCGGCCCCTCCTGGGATTTTTTCGGCCTCCCTTGACTGGAAATCCTGGCTACGTCATTGATTATACGGAGCTACTGTAAAAACAACACCGGGGACCGGGGTCCACTAAAACTACAGAAAGGGAAACACATTTTCAGTCACCCGTAATGCCATTATGATCTTTACTGTTCAAGTAGGTACAGAGAGGAGAGGTACAGTTCCAGCCAGGGTCTAAACTTGGGGGGGGGGAATGTTTATGGCATTTGCGGAATGCGTGCGGCAAAGCCTCGAAGAATGTAGGGGGCTACGGGGACAACTCTATTTCACGTATTTCAGGACGAGGTTTGAAGAAAAAGCAAAAAGTAACTTTTAAAATGTAAAACATTGTATTATACACACAAATACAACAACAAAATAGCACGATGTCTTCGTTTTTGAAGTGGAAATTATATTGTAATAACAAGAATGAACTTTGAACTTTGATTGCTGTGCTATGCGCGTAAATTCAAGTTCAAATATGCTTTCAACCACCATGCAGTCCATAGGCATTTTTACTGGAGTTAGGATTCTAGAGAGGGAAGACCACAACTTTTATTGGGAATCATTATTCACACCTCTTCAGCTTCCCACAAGGGCAGTCCTTTTGCCCATTGTGAGGAGGGCAGATCCCCCTCCCCCCCCCCTCCCCCCCCTCCTTGGATATGCCATTATGGTTTGAGTGGTTTCAACCAGGGCGTTTACAGTATATATAGAGGGCGGTGGGCGGTGCAACGCCAGTCATTTGATTGATCGACTTGTGATGTAGTAGGGACTGGGGCGAGCGTGTTTTCGCGCGAAAATCCAACAAAAACAGATTTTTATTTTTTTGTCATTTGACAGTTTTTTTGCGATTTTTCCTTATTTCTTTACTTGTTGAAGAAACTTATTCAGGTTTACAAATGAAATGTTACTTTTTCTTTGGATATATTGCATTTGTTTTTGTGGAAACAATTGTGACAGACATGATTTAATGTGGAATTTAATACTTGCCTTTGGCTTCGCTCTTTTTCCGACTTCCTTGGGGACCGTTCATTATTTATACCAGGGGTTGGAACCGAAGAGAAGCGAAAAACACTGTAATTTTTTTATTTACCCGATCTCAACAATGGTCAAAATAATGTTTACCCAACCCATGTGTTACTGTACTTCATATTAATAATTAAACACACAAGATTATGGTGACAGAAATCAAGTTGCCTAAATTCTAAAAGCTCACACTGAAACTCACTGAGTGTGCCAAAGCAATCACGTTTCTGCTGATCAATGATAGAGTCCTTCCTCTATCACTGATGGTCTATTTTGGTACAGAATGCATTGTACACATTTTTCTTCATATTTTCCAATGCATGGTAATTTTGGTTTTATTTTATTTTATTTTATTTTATAGCTGACAAACAGCCATAATTTTTTTTACCCAACCCATGAGCCAGTCAAAAATTTGATTACCCAACCCATATCTCTTCGGTACCAACCCCGGGTATAAATAATGAACGGTCCCTTGCCCTTGGCGGCGAAATATATTTTTCAACGACGAAAATAGCTGCCGCAGTGTGGATATGTTGAAGTTTTCCCCTTTATAATATATCTCATATCTTATATTTTATAAAGTTTGGTTCAAATCGAAGTCTATTGGTATCAGAAATAAGGTCGAAAACGACTGTTTTTGATGCGAATCGTTTTCAAGTTTATTTTACATATAATAAACGTTTAATAAGCACACAATGTCAATGAACTACAGATGGCTGATAGGTTGAATTTTCGATAAAATTTTAGCCAATCTAGACTGTTAAACTTTCTATTGACTTGGCTAGAACATTCGATGCAAAGTTTTCTGCTTTTTGTTCTTCAAAACTTGTGTTTAATTTGCAAACTAACAGTATATTATGATAATAATAATAATAATAAACAAAGTAGACTCGATGCACGCCCGAACACCACACTCGAAGGTGAAAATTTTCACCACGCATTTTTGGGCTGCCTATGTACTTATCAACTATTCCTTCCCAAAAATTACGAAGCAAAAACTGGGGCAAGCAAAGGCTTTGAGTATCAGGCCATTGAGCGCGCTCGTTGCACCGCCCTATATTTAAGTGCCCTCGTTTCAACCGCCATTTCCAATTTCCAAGGCTAGTTCAGTGCTTGTTTGTGTAAGTTTCTGTCCTATTTATTTGTAGATCTTCCTGGAATTGCAAGTGGTGATACCATTGCTTTTTTGGATCCACATGAAGAGTATTTCAGAAATGAAAAAGGTAGGGGAAGTTCTGTAACCTTGTATTATTTCGACGAAGAATTGTTGCAAGAGAAGACCAGAGATCAATTCATGCCATTCCATGATGTATTTGGTTGTAATTTAGACGACTCCGAAAATTATGAAGGCACGCTTTTTCGCTTTCCAATGCGCACGACAGCGTCAGAATTATCGGATGAGGGATACACTAAAGAAAAGGTGTTGAAGTTGTTTGATTCGTTACAAAAAGAAGCATCCGTTGTTCTTCTTTTCCTCAAAAACATCTGCAGCATTAGTTTACATAAACGTTCTGAGAATGGCGAAATTCAATGTATCTTCAAGGTTGAAATTGCAGAAAAATCGCGCGAGGAAGTTGTAAAAATACGACAAGTATTTTTGAGCAAAGCAGCAGAAACGTCTGATCATGAGATATCCGAATCTAGATATATTATGAATATTAAAGTGTCGAAAGATTCGACTACCCAAGAATTCCGATGGTTAGTTGTCAACCAAATTGGTTCTAATGTGAAACGCATTTCAGAATTAGCCACAAAAGAGAATCTTCCTCCTTGGATTGGTATGGCATTACCATTGGACAATGAAAGAAGCAGTATGAACGACGGAAGGATATTTTGCTTTCTTCCTTTACCTCCTGATGTCGACTGCGAGACTGGCCTTCCTGTTCATGTTCACGGCGCCTTTGCCTTGACTGACAACAGGCGTGGTCTTGTTTGGCCTGGAGCAGATAACCAGAGCTCGACAGCTGAATGGAACAAGTTGTTACTTTCAAATGTAGCTGTTGAAGTTTATTCGAAAGTTCTTCATGTCCTTTTGCAAAATTTACCATCCATTGGAATCGATGAAAGTTCCAGAAGTCAATTGGTGTACTCGACATTGCCATGCAAAGCTAAAGTGAAAGGGCATTGGCAGGTAATTTTGGATCCTCTGCTGCAAAAATTATCAAAAGAAGAGTGGAAACTCTTTCTTGCACAGCCCACATCCGCTAATTCTTGGATCAGGTTGCAAGATGGTATTGTTGATCGTCTGCCGGTTGATAACAACGCGCGTGAAACAGTGTTAAGAGCGTTGCAGGGCTGTTCGCAAACTGTCATCACTAACATTCCAGCTCATGTTCTGAATATCGTGGACGACTACTTCCCTTCTTCACGTGATATCACCCCTGTCTTATTGCGGTCAGTTTTAAAAACGCAGCACGACCTCAAAGCTTCGCACGAGGATAAAATAAAAATGCTAGAATTTATTTTGGAGGATGGTCCCACTGATGATTTGGAAGGAGTTCCCCTGCTTCCCTTAGCAGATCAGCACTTTTCCACATTTATATCAAATACCTATGGTGACAATCCCTCTTCGTCTGTGTTTGTAGCCACTGCCAATTGTCCAAGATCTGTGCTACCAAATTTCGATAATCGATTTTTGAGTGAAGATATTCCGACGACGGTGAGAGACAAGCTTCAAACACTTGCAAGTAAGGACCCACAAAGCAGAAGTACCACACAGCTGGTTTTGATGAACAAAGAGATTACACTGCAAAACCTTCGTTCATGTTTGCCCGTGGAATGGTTTGATAATATCAATGAAGTCGTGCAGTGGATGCCTGAGAAAGCTGGTCATCCTTCAGAATCTTGGTTAGAAGTGATTTGGTCGTGGATTAATGCCAATTTTCCAGATTCGCTCGAGTCCTTCATCGGTCTTCCACTTATTCAACTACCTACACAACAACTTGGTGTCTTATCAAAACAGTCCAAGTTTATTTTTGCTTCTGATGTCTCGGGGAACTGTCTTCCAGATGTGGTTGTGAACCTGCTTGAAGCATCTGGTTGTACTGTTGTACCAAAACAATCTTCTAACTTGAGACATTCGGACATCAACACATACATTGCTTCCGCTACTCCAACGGGTGTCATGACTGTTCTCACCCGGACCTCGTTAGAAAAAGCACAAGCACATGTCAAGTTATGTACTTCAGATGAACGACATAAGCTACGAGATTTTCTGTCCCGCCTTCCAACCAATTTAGATTGTACTCAACGTAATCTATTGCTTCGTATACCATTATTTAATACACTAGACGGCTCCAGCGTGGCCATCGAAACAGGAAGCGAAACTGTATTTGTGGCCGAACCCAACTTTACTTTTCCAGATGATTTCAAGTTCCGTAGATGTAACCAGATAATTTCATCTGCTGATACAAGCACCCAACAGCTGTTGCATCTTCTAGATGTCAAGACTCTTAATTCGGCAGAAGTTCTTGTTAAATTCTTGTTTCCAGACATCCGGGCACTGAATGTTTATGGCCTTGACGAGACAGCAAAGGTAATGCTTTGGATAATAGCAAGAGTGTTTGACTTCAAGTCACAGAGTGATAAATTCATTGAAGAAATGAAGAATTTACCATTTGTTCCTACAGATAAAGGTGAAATTGTAAAACCAAGTGACCTTTACGATCCTGGTGACGCTACAATCTTAAATTTATTCCACAGCGAGCCAAACAAATTTCCGAGACATGACTACTGCGAACCTCATGTTGTATCAATTTTGAAAGATCAGATGGGTTTACGGACCATAGACAAAATAACAGGAAATGACTTGTTTCAAGTCGCTGCATGTATTAGCACGTCTTCACAGTTGTCATCCAGTCACAAACTCCAAGCTTTAGTGAAGATCCTCAACGATACCCCAGAATATCTTAACCAAAATCTTAACTCGGGTGTTACACTGAAGTCTGAATTACTCGGGGTGAAGTGGTTACCTCGTGCCACAACTTCTCAAACGGTTTGCCCACGCTTTCCACAATCCATGACATGGTATACTTGTGATGCTCAATATTTTACACCTTCAGAACTTTGTAATAAATCGCACGCTTTGGTCGTTGGTTCATCAATGCCAATCCTTGGCATCGACCTCCATGAAAAAGTTCTTGAAAAATTGGGTTTGACGGCTGATCCTCCTGTGAAGCAAGTTGCTGCTCAGCTTAAAATAGCAATCCAAATATGGTGTGCTTTGAACGAAAGAAAGGTTTGCGCTTTGTTTAAGGAAATGATCGTCGCTATCTACAATCAATTCACACGCTGTCCGAAGGAAACTGTTTTCGAACAATTGAACGACGCTTCCATGGAACACTGGATTTGGCATGGAGCAGGATTTTGCTCACCTTCTCAAATAGCTTTTAAGATGGATGTTCCGTTAGACTTACGTCCGCAATTGTATCTTTTACCCGAAGAACTCAAAGATGATACGAAGCTAGAACAATTCTTTATTCAAACTGGCGTGCGTGCAATGTTCTCCGAAGAAGACATCATTTCAGTTCTTCCTGCTTTGAAGCAAAAACATGAAGCACCTAATGTGCCTACAGGTGATGCTGAAAAAGATTTAAAGTTATGTCGCTCCATTTTAGAATGGCTTGTTGGAAAAAGTTTGTCAGAAAGCATGAAAGAAAACTTGCTATTTCCCGTAGAAAGTGAAGAAAATATTTTGATTTTGCATCCCTATAAGGAGTGTGCTTATTCTGATGTCGATTGGCTGCGCCGTGGCGAGTCAACGCTAGACATCCCTGACGAGTATCCATTAATCCACGATTCTGTACCAACAAAGATAGCTATTTCACTCGGCGTCCCGAAGTTGAGTTCTTGCTTGTTGTCAGCAGAGACCTTGGATTTTGACTTGGGTATTGAAAAATCTGGTCCTAGTGAGCCAATTACCACACGAATTCATAACATTCTCGAGGATTACAAGGAAGGAGTTGGAGTCTTCAGGGAGTTGATTCAAAATGCTGACGATGCTGGAGCCAGTAAAGTTCGTTTTCTTGTGGATTGGAGAGTTGGTCCAAATGATAAACTCCTGGCAGATGGGATGTCTGAATGTCAAGGCCCTGCATTATGGGCTTACAACGATGGATTGTTTAGTGACAAGGACTTCGAAAACATCAACAAACTTGCTGGAGCAACAAAGAAGCAAGATATTGCAACCATTGGAAGATTTGGTCTTGGCTTCAATGCCGTGTATCATCTGACAGACGTACCTAGCTTTGTAAGTAGAGAGTACATTGTTATGTTTGATCCAAACTGTCATCATTTACAAAAACACATCACGGATGTTTCGCAACCTGGTATACGTATCAACCTTGCAAAGTCCCCGAGACCTCTGCAAGTATTTGAAAACCAGTTCCAACCATATCATGGCATATTTGGTTGCAACATGAAATACAACGCAGAGGGATCGTTCGATTATCAAGGAACATTATTTCGGTTTCCATTTCGGACATTGGTGCAAGCTGGGAAGAGTGAGATATGTCAGAAAGTGTACGATGAAGAGAAAGTGAAAGCCATCGTCGAGTCCCTTAGAGAAAGCGCTTCGTTGCTATTGGTTTACACTGAACATGTGACAGAGGTGGAGCTATTTGAGTTAAAGAGCAACCAGAAGCCGGAACAGATGCAACCGATTTTGTCCGTAAAGAAGACTGGTGATAGTCTTGGTAATGATACACCATTCATCAAGACTTGTTCAAAATGGTGGAGTGACAAGATGCAAGATGAAGTTTCCTTAAACGAATGTCCTTCTAAATCGCAGTATATTACAATCGACATAGTCGAGTCAACAACATCTTCTTCTGGTAAGATTGAACATTCACACCGCCAAGAACCGTGGCTAACTAACTCGTGCATGGGGACAGGCTCGTCTTCCGCTCTGGCGCTTACACCCGAAGGTCGAGAAAAGGGTCTGATGCCGTTTGCTGAAACTGCAGCAAAATTAAATTGTGTAAAAACTGCAACAAAAATTCCCCAAGTTGTTCCAGGCGAGGCATTTTGTTTCCTACCACTCTCCATTCAAACTGGACTCCCTTTGCACATCAACGGTTACTTTGCTATCACGTCGAATCGTCGTGCGCTCTGGGAACCCGGTACAACAGAACATGATAAACCGTTCGAGGGTGATTGGAATGTAAGCTTACTGAGTGATGCCATCGCATGTTCGTATCTTCAACTTTTGCAAGAAATCAAGTATAAACTTCCTGAGGATGCCACCAAAAGCCTTGAAGCAATGTTGCCATGTTACGATTCTTTACACTCGACAATCTGGGAACCATTAGTAAAGAGTGTTTATGCCAAAATAGTAAACGAGTCTTTGGCGATATTTTGGTGCAATGGAAAATGGCTGGATATCAACAGTGGCTTTATTCTTGATAATGACCTGCGCGATGCCCCAGGGGTGATCTTAACTATGAATTCATTAGATAGAACTGCCTTGGATTTGACTGAAAACGTTTGTAAATCATTTAAGAAAGCTGGCTATGAAGATACCATAAAAAGTCGTACATTAACACTAGAGCGATTTTTCCAAGAGTTATTTATTCCAAACATTTCCAGAATTACACACGAGTTACGAGAACCGCTGGTCAGCTATGGTTTGGTCTGCATACTGAAAGGCCAGGTGGAATTAGAGAAGTTGTTTAGAGATAACGAATCCATTTTAAATGATGGCGGCCAACTGAAGAAACCAGCAGAACTTTTTGATCCGAATGATTCTCAATTACAGTTGTTGTTTTTTCAAGAGCCCGGAAAATTTCCTAACCAAGATTTTGTTGGCAATAACGATTCGCTTCTATCTGTGTTAAAGAAGTTAGGTCTGCGTAACAAAGCTATGATAACGTCCGAAGAATTGTCGAATGTTGCGAAGACCATCTCACTGTCCAAGTATTCAGATCCGTTGATTAGAAAGAGCCAAGCGTTGGTAAGCATTCTTCAATCTAAACCAGAATGTCTTTCACAAGTTGTGAACGGATGTAGTACCCTTAAAGAAGAATTGCGAGGGATTAAGTGGCTACCACGCGCACAATCTCCACCGGAGAGCTGCCGATACCCCGAGAAAATGCCTTGGTTTGATGCCCAAAACGCGTTCTTTTCACCTGTCGAACTTCGCGGTAAATCCCAGGCTCTTTTGATTGGATCGTGTATGCCTGTTGCAGACATAATTCCTGAAAGTTTCCTTGTCGAGTTGGGCGTAGTCGTTGATCTACCAATTGAAAATGTTGTTGAACAACTTTCCAAAGCCGTCCTATTGTGGTGCACTGATCCTCAGATGAAATCTACGTCGCAGTTTCAAGACTTGATTTTGACTATTTACCAACATCTAGCTGAAACTCCTCAAGATACACTTTCGAAAGCGCTGAAACAAGCTGAACTTGCAGACTGGGTCTGGCATGGGACTGGGTTTTGCTCACCTTCTCAAATATCCTTCAAGATGGATGTTCCGTTAGATTTACGCCCGCAATTGTTCATTTTACCCAAAGAACTCAAAGAGGATGCGAAGCTGGAACAATTCTTTCTTCAAAGTGGCGTACATGCAAGGTTCTCCGAAGAAGACATAATTTCAGTTCTTCCTGCTTTGAAGCAAAAACACGAAACATCTGATCTGCATGCAGGTGATGTCGAAAAAGATTTAAATATATGTCGCTCCATTTTAGAACGGCTTGTTGGAAAAAATTTGTCGGAAAGCATAAAAAAGAACTTGCTATTTCCCGTAGAAAGTGAAGACAATATTTTGGTTTTGCAACATTATAAGGAGTGTGCTTATTGTGATGCTGATTGGCTACGCCGTGGAGAATCAAAGCTAGATATCTCTGACGACTATCCATTAATTCATGATTCAGTACCAACAAAGATAGCTGTCTCACTTGGCGTCCCAAAGTTAAGTTCTTGTTTGTTGTCAGCGGAAACCTTGGATTTTGACTTGGGTATTGAAAAATCTGGTCCTAATGAGCCAATTACCACACGAATTCGTAACATTCTCGAGGATTACAAGGAAGGAGTTGGAGTCTTCAGGGAGTTGATTCAAAATGGTGACGATGCTGGAGCCAGTAAAGTTCGTTTCCTGGTGGATTGGAGAGTCGGTCCGATGGATAAACTCCTGGCAGATGGCATGTCTGAATGTCAAGGCCCTGCATTATGGGCTTACAACGATGGGTTGTTCAGTGACAAGGACTTCGAAAACATCAACAAACTTGCTGGAGCAACAAAAAAGAAAGATATTTCAACCATTGGAAGATTTGGTCTTGGTTTCAATGCCGTGTATCATCTGACAGACGTACCCAGCTTTGTAAGTAGAGAGTACATTGTTATGTTTGATCCAAACTGTCATCATTTACAAAAACACATCACGGATGCTTCGCAACCTGGTATACGTATCAACCTTGCAAAGTCCCCGAGACCTCTGCAAGTATTTGAAAACCAGTTCCAACCATATCATGGCATATTTGGTTGCAACATGAAATACAACGCAGAGGGATCGTTCGATTATCAAGGAACATTATTTCGGTTTCCATTTCGGACATTGATGCAAGCTGGGAAGAGTGAGATATGTCAGAAAGTGTACGACGAAGAGAAAGTGAAAGCCATCGTCGAGTCCCTTAGAGAAAGCGCTTCCTTGCTATTGGTTTACACTGAACATGTGACTGAGGTGGAGCTATTTGAGTTAAAGAGCAACCAGAAGCCAGAACAGATGCAACCGATTTTGTCCGTGAAGAAGACTGGTGATAGTCTTGGCAAGGATACACCATTCATCAAGACTTGTTCCAAATGGTGGAGTGACAAGATGCAAGGTGAAGTTTCCTTATGCGAATGTCCTTCTAAATCACAGTATATTACAATCGACATAGTCGAGTCAACAACATCTTCATCTGATGAGATTGAGCATTCACACTGCCAAGAACCTTGGCTAACTAACTCGTGCATGGGGACAGGCTTGTCTTCCGCTCTGGCGCTTACACCCGAAGGTCGAGAAAAAGGTCTGATGCCGTTTGCTGAAACTGCAGCTAAATTAAATTGTTGTGTACAAACTGCAACAAAAATTCCCCAAGTTGTTCCAGGCGAGGCATTTTGTTTTCTACCACTCTCCATTCAAACTGGACTCCCTTTGCACATCAACGGTTACTTTGCTATCACGTCGAATCGTCGTGCGCTCTGGGAACCCGGTACAACAGAACATGATAAACCGTTCGAGGGTGAATGGAATGCAAGCCTACTGAGTGATGCCGTCGCATGTTCATATATTAAACTTTTGCAAGAAATCAAGTGTAAACTTCTTGATGATGCCACGGAAAAGCTTCAAACAATGTTGCCATGTTACGATTCGCTACACTCAACTATCTGGGAACCTTTAGTAAAGAGTATATATGACAAAATAGTAAACGAGTCATTGGCGATATTTTGGTGCAATGAAAAATGGCTGGATATAGACAGTGGCTTTATTCTTGACGATGACCTGCGCGGTGCTCCTCAGGTGATCTTGACTATGAATTCATTAGATAGAAATGTCCTGGTTTTGACTGAAGAAGTTTGTAAATCGTTTAAGAAAGCTGGCCATGAAGATACCATAAAAAGTCGCACATTAACACTAGAGCGATTTTTCCAAGAGTTATTTTTCCCAAACATTTCCAGAATTACACACGCGTTACGGGAACCACTGGTCCGCTATGGGTTGGATTGCATACTGAAAGGTCACGAGGAATTGGAAGTGTTGTTTAGAGATAACGAATCTATTTTGAATAATGACGGCCAACTGAAGAAACCAGCAGAACTTTTCGATCCAAATGATTGTCAATTACAAGAATTGTTTTTCCAAGAGCCTGGAAAATTTCCTAACCAAGATTTTGTTGCTAATAACGATTCGCTTCTAACTGTACTAAAGAAGTTAGGTCTGCGTAGCAAAGCTATGATAGTGCCCGAAGAATTGTTGAATGTTGCAAAGACGATTTCACTGTCCGAGTATTCAGATCCGTTGATTAGAAAGAGCCAAGCGTTGGTGAGCATCCTTCAGTATAAACCAGAATGTCTTTCACAAGATGTGAACGGATGTAGTACACTTAAACAAGAATTGCGAGGGATTAAATGGCTTCCACGCGCACGATCGCCACCAGAAAGCTGTCGATATCCCGAGAAAATGCCTTGGCTTGATGTTGAAAACGCATTCTTTTCACCTGATGAACTTCGCGATAAATCTCAAGCTCTTTTGATTGGCTCTTGTATGCCTGTTATAGACATAATTCGAGACGATTTCCTCGTCGAGTTGGGCATAGTCTTCGAGCTGCCAATTGAAAATGTTGTTGAACAACTTTCCAAAGCCGTCGAGTTATGGCGCACTGATCCTCATGAGATGAAATCTACTTCGCAGTTTCAAAGTTTGATAATTGCTATTTACAAACATCTAGCTGAAATTCCTCAAGATATACTTTCCGGAGCTCTAAAACAAGCTGAACTCGCACGCTGGGTTTGGCATGAAACGGGCTTTGCATGTCCCACTCATGTTGCAATGGAGAATTTTCTTATTGATCTTCATCCTCACTTATTCTATTTGCCAAAATATCTACACCCAAATGAAGCACTCGAAGAATTTTTCGTCAGAAACGGAGTACGGAGAGAGTTTTCCAAGAAAGATATCATCTCAGTTTTGTCATCTGTAAAGAAAAAACACGAGAGTGGTTCACCTAATGCGACTGAAAATATCAAGCATGACGTCGAATTGTGCCGCTTTATTGTCGAATGGCTCGTTGATGATGGCGAAGAGTTGTCCGACGACTTGCAAGAAGAAGTTATGGTTCCCATTCAGACAAGCGAGAAATCTTTAATCCTGAAGCCGTGTAAGGATTGTACATTCTGTGATCATGATTGGATGCGTCAAGGTCGATCGGAACTTGATATTCCCGAAGAATTCTTCCTTATTGACGAGTCAATATCTACAAAAACCGCAAGATCGTTAGGAGTGAAAGCACTGAGCACTTGTCTAATATCTGGCGAGGAACTTGATTTTGAACTAACCGGGCAAAACGAGCCGTTGACGACGAGATTAAGTAATATCCTTTCTGATTACAAGGAGGGTGTTGGCGTATTTAAGGAATTGATCCAAAATGCGGATGATGCTGGTGCAAAAAAAGTGTGCTTTCTGATTGACTGGAGAGAAGGACCAAAGAAAAGCCTTTTTTCTCCTTCAATGTCCGAATGCCAAGGTCCTGCGCTCTGGGCGTACAACGATGCTGTTTTTAGCGATAGCGACTTCAAAAATATCAATAAGCTTGCAGGAGCAACAAAAAAAGAAGATTTGGAAAAGATTGGACGCTTCGGACTTGGTTTCAATGCCGTTTATCATCTTACAGACGTACCAAGCTTTCTAAGCAGACAATATCTTGTCGTGTTTGATCCAAATATCCAGCATTTAATTGGAAAAATAACCGAGACGCATCCCGGACTTCGTATTGACCTTGCGAAGAATGCCAGACCACTGAAAACATTTTCCGACCAGTTTCAACCTTATCATGATGTTTTCCATTGCAACACCCACCAGAAGGATGGGGAAAGATTTAACTTCAACGAGACATTATTTCGTTTCCCTTTTCGTACCAAGTTACAAGCAATCAGAAGTGAAATAAGTCAAGAAGTCTATGGCGCAGAGAAAGTAAGAGCTCTAGTTAATAGTCTGAGAGAAGGCCTGACACTTATTTTGTTATACACACAGCGTGTGAATGAAGTTGAAGTGTACGAGCTTGGCAAGGATGAAGATCCTCAGACGATGCGATTGATCTTATCGACTAAGAAAAGTACGGAGTCTGTAAATCTGGAGCTGAATGCACAATTTTCTGAAGATCGATCCGAAAGCACGCCTGACGCCCCCAAATTATCTTTCATAAAGGAATGTTCTCAGTGGTGGAAAGCACACTGCTCAAAGACTGCTGTGTCGTCTAGTCCTTCCCGGTCTGAAATCATATCAATTGAAGTAACGGAACAAAATGCAGAACAAAGGAAAGAACAGTGGCTGGTAAGTTCTTGTATGGGAACTGATTCATCTTTGCTACTGGCCATGAATGAAGGTCACAAGGATGGTTTACTTCCTTGTGGTGGAACAGCAGCTAAACTATCTTCGGATACCACACCAATTCCAGAGTCAATCTTTGGGGAAGCGTTCTGTTTCCTTCCTCTTTCTATTGCAACCGGACTCCCAGTACACATCAACAGTTCTTTTGCTATCATGAATAATCGTCGCAGTATCTGGGAGCGAAGTAGTTCAACTCGTTATAAAGGTAGATGTTCGATTATTTTTCATATTAGCTGCGCGCATTGCATTTTGGGTATTTGTGCATTGCATTTTAATTGGGTATTTGTGCATTGCATTTTAATTGATTAAAATTGAGAATTATGCCAGTTACATGAAATAAATTTCCTGCCTTGCTCGCTCCCTGTGGTAGCAATAATTGTTACATGTCAACTTGTTCTCCACTATAATAAATAACTGGACCCCCCCCCCCTTCTGAACCACTATTTTTAGGTGACCCCCCTTTTTCGGTCAAAAATACCTCATGACCCACCCCCTTTTTTTGCCAGCCCACCCCCAGTCATAAATAATGAATGGTCCCTTAAATAGATGGGGGCAGAATGTCCGTGAAGTTTGGAGCTAGTTTGGAGCGCGATTCAAGGCCATTCAACGGCTGCATCTACGACCCTTCTATAATATACGACGGATAACAAGTAAGTAAGATGGTCTACTTATAAAAGAGCCGGCCACGCTGGCTAGTAAGATGGATGTCTTTAATCAGTGGCGAAGCTGGCCACGGCAATTGATCATGCTATGCTAATGTAATTGCTAGATAGTATACTTCAAAATAAGGTTTCCGTTTTATATCAATTTTTAAAATAAGTTAGGGTTAGGGTTAGTGGTTTAGTTTTGCGTTAGGATAGTTTTTTTCTACGTTATAAAAACGGAAACCTTATTTTGAAGTATACTATCTAGCAATTACCCTATGCTAATAAACCTGCATAATACATTTCTAAAAGTTTGAATAATGCAAATCATTAAAAATATTAGCATGACCTGTGCAGTGTTGCTATACTGCGTTTATTGTTTAATTCTTCTTACTTCATTTCTGATTTGACGACAGAAAATTTGAGCGCTAATTTTATACTCAAATGTACACCTATTAAGGCGAAAGTTTGATGTGAAGACAAACTTTATTTCAAAAATGCTATTAACTCGTAAGTAATTTTGGGTAACAGGTTTATGATGCTGTATCAACTTTCAAAATATCACAATGTCTTTATTTATATATCATCCTAGGCCTATTCGAGGGATAATTAAAGGATGTACGTCATATCAATAGCACAAAGTCTGCATGCCCCTGCTTGAGTTCCTGGAAAACAGCTGGTTGCACATCGAAGGCGTATTCAGTTGAACAAAGAGCTAAAATTGTATTTGATTCTTTGAAACAGTTTGTCTTCTAAAAATCCCTAGATTTCCAGGTAAGTGTGTATCAACAATTGTCACAATTACTGCGCAGTCGTTGAGGGCACAGGTTAAGGGTTTTAATTATGCAGTATGACTACTGGGAAGTGTTTTGAAACATGTCAAAATTCATACGCCGGTAGTCTGATGATACAAATCGAAAGTATCAAAATACCGCACGAATCCACGATATTAGACGTATATTGTGTATTGCCTTACATGTAAAATAAATTGATTTTTTGAATTCAATAGGTGAGGGAAAGATACTGAGTGAAGATACGGCGCGTCGGTCTTTCCTTTCCATGCGGCATGTGTGGCCGCCGGTAGGAACATCGCCCGATGGCCGAAAATAGGAGTAAGAGTAAAGAATTTTTTTAGTATTTAGCACTATTTTAAAGCGTTTTATATATGGTAGCAATGTCTGATAAATGTCTTATTTTGATAATTTGTCACAATATCGATAAATAGGGCATGTAGTAAAGCGAAACTAAATTTAGTCATTGAACGACTTCCCAGAAAACCAAACCGAAACCAAACCGAAACAATTAGGGAAAAAAGCCGGAAGCTTACAGTCAAAATACAAGAACCTTCCGCTTCTATATTCTGTTGTAATTTTCTGTAAATTGTTCTGTTTTTCTGTACCACTTACAGTACCAAATTTTTAATAGGAGCAAATATGGGGAAAAATTTGGTTTTCTTTGTTTCATATGATAATTTGTAGCAAATATTAAAGTCTAGGATATGAGGAATTATTAAGGTCAATTAGATTTGTGTTTCTATATCCTATTCCAACTAGCAGCTTACCAAATTAATATACCATAGCTGAAACATTCTATCAGCACTTTGGCCAGTAACATTAGAAAAGAACCATACATTAATTTTTGAAAATTCTAAGGAAATTTAAGGAATTTTTGAATCAACTGAAATGTTTTGAAGATTCTTTCAGGAAGTGGAACCTTTCATTAATTTTAAATTATATTACTTTCCTTCGTTCATAACCAATATGTCTGTGTGCAAAAATAAAAATAACCTCTTTCGGAGCCTGTGACCGAGTCAGTAGAATCTAGAATTATGAATTAAACTAAGTAGATCGACTAAGTAGGCTGCACACAACCTGAATTTTAGGCGGAAATCAGGTAGCGTGCTGCGTGCAGGCCACATGTGTTGGCTGTCAATCCTGTCATGCGAATTTTATATATGAATTTATTTGTCATGTGAATTTGTTGACTATTGAGAACAATATTAAAACTCTAGTATTTTACATTTTAATCATTAAGTTGCAGACTGTTGCAACATTGGCACTCCCCAAGTTGCAAGGAAAATGGCGAATTTTAGTTACTGTCAACTTCTGTCAACTGCTTTTACAAAAATACCCATATCTCAAGATCAATGTTATGAAAAACCTTGAAATTTTGCAGTGGGTTAAAATGATAAATGATTAATCAATTCTATTTTAAATGAGCTCCCACACTTAAATATATCATTAGATTTTTGGGTGAGAATTCTTGGTTTGTGTAAATTTAAGTCTCTGACATTTTGCTTCTTCATGACACCCAACATCTGAAGGGCAATAATTCAATAACCCAACATAGATGGAGAAATATTTTTTGATTCCTGGATTGGTACACATTTATTTTCAAATTAGTTTTCATCTTGTAGGGTATAAATTACAAAATAATGAAACGCTATAAAAATTTGCTTGGGCATAGCTCAGGCACACTCAGGACATCTAGTTTACAATGGAGAACTTGAACTTCAGAACTTGTTGTTCAAGTCCAAAAACTTCTGTAACCCAAAAACACAGTGTTTGTACCTCTTTGAAGTTTTTAAATAGCTCAAATATGTTTGGAAAAACACGAAGTACAAAAATTACTAATTAAAATATAAACAAAGGATGAAAAAGGTGAGAAAATTTTAAAATATTTGAGGTGTTTTCAATTCTGACTTTGACAGCCGGCATTTTCAAACGCAGCGTGCGGTGACAAAACAAAAGGCTTTTTATTTCGCTATTAAGAGCACTGAAAGTCGTCAAAAAGAGATAAACACTTTTGAATATTCATCAGGTAAGAATTTTAACTGAAATTCCTTTTGTTTCTGTTGAGAAAACAACGGATTTGTGGCTAAAACGTCGTGCGCGCCAATGTAGGTTGCTGTAAAATGTCAGACAGGCGGTTTCTTTTGAAATCTGACTCTAGTTTGAAATCTGACTCTAGCTTGAAATAAGTCCTTTTCAAGGACCAATTGTATAAAAATATAATATGTATGCTCAAATAAAATGAATAATCTAATATTTAGGCATTTTAGATCGCTATAAAAGAGTGAAATAAAGGATTTCATCTTTGGTTGTTTGTCAGACGAGAGTAAACACATTGGTGACACTTTGTTGCGCATGCAGTTTTCAAAAGATAAACTGCTAAAAACATAGCTTTTATTTCACCAAATAGCAAAGTATCTTGCAGATATTATTAAAAGAGCTCAAGCGAAGTAATTCCATGATAAATAAGTGAACAATGAGACCAAAAAAGCGACTAAATTACAATTTTGGAAAGTACATAAATTTAATGGCTTCCCGCAAAGAAGCCATTTCAGAGGAGAACGGCATTTTGTAAACTGCTGTCCTGACCTATTTTAAACTTTTCCTTCAGGTAATCGATGAGTACTTCTTAGAAAATGAGCGTACATTAGTTTTATGATGTGCTTTATTGATTTAAAAAATTTATGCGGATATATGAACCGATAAAGTGTATTTTAGAAGCTTTTCAAATCCCTGTCATGAAGGTTCAGAATTCCCACGCGCCAAGTAACGGCATAATTCAATACACTGATTTTAAACCACATTATCTCTGAAATGAGAGCTCGTTTCGAGACAAAGTTTATAGAAACAGATATAGTATTCATTGTAGAGTATTCTACTTAGTTTTAATGCGGTTTTACTCGAAATTTTTCTTGCCAAAAATGTATATACGCACATGACAAGTTGAATCTACTGTCTTCTGAAAGTACTTTGGCTAAAATAACAACTTGAGCAAGACGACCAACAGTAGGGTCACGAAAACAGTCGAAATCATGCCATAAAATGCACGAAAAGTTCTTCTAAAAACTTAGTTTTAAACTAGATTGAACTTGCTTTAATGCTATATCGTATTTCATGAAAACATGCCAGGTATTTTCATTCAAAAACACGCTCAAAAAATCGTAACTACTCACTTGGATTTAGTGTTCATGTTTCTTGCGATTTCCCACTTCACTTTTCCGTTAGATTGAAAGAAATTGCTGTTTTTCTGGCTGAAAATCGCGCGACTTGATTTGGACAAGAACTTGACTTGAAACATATGCACACTCCCTTATGTTTTACAATATATTTTATATGTAAAACACTTTAAAAACCTCTTCTTTTTCATCCTTAAAACTTGCTGCAAAGTCCTATCTTGTGACACTTTGCGGTTGTCACAGGTTTTGTAAAAAAATAGAGTTTTAAAATCGAAAATCTTCGCAACCTTTTGATCAATTTTCTCGCATGATGTATCGTTTGAAAGCCCGAATTTTGCACTTTATACTCGTGACCGTTGCTAGGCAACCCGATAAATACGCGCTAGACAATCGTGCCCGGAAGTTGACGTGTCATCCAGGGCGCATGAGGGCGCAATGAGACTTACCCCGTTCCCAATTCCAGGGCGCATGGGGGCGCAATGAGACTTAATGAGTTAAAGCTTTCAAAATTGTTGTGTAAAGGCTTTGTTTTTATGAGCTGTACGAAAGAAATATACCATTCTGTTTCTGTCTTACTTTATATAAGTATTTAGTATTGATGAATTCTAGTTGCCGAAATATACTTCGATTAATCAAGGAAATTTCAAGGAAATTACATCCATTTCAAGGAAATTCAAGGAAATTTTAAAGCAAAATCAAGGAAATTTGAGTGATGCGTTGTGGAAACACTGCAGTTCTCGTCCCCGCCCGCATGGGATCAGTGTGACCAGATGTGGTAATTTCATTACTACAGTGGTAATTTTTCGTCATTTTTGGACGATTGTGGTATTTGGAAATTTGTGGTAATTACTACGGTAATTTTTGGAATTGTGGTTATTAAGCTGAAAATTGCTAAAAAAGTCAATTAAGTCGGCTATTTTGGTACTTTTTCCAGACTTAAAGTTTCCAGACCTAAATTTTACAGATTTTGGGTAAAAAACCTTAATTTAACTGGTGTTTAATTTAAAATTTGAACCTTAATTTAACTGGTGGTTGTCCCAAAAATTTTGTTGTCTGGGAAAATTTTTTGCCCTTCCCCCCCCCCCTCGCCAACATTTTTGGGGAAAATATGGTACCGTGGTAATTTTTGACGGAAATCGCTAGATAGTATACTTCAAAATAAGGTAACCGCGAGAAGACTGGGTACGAGTTTGCCAAAATCTTCGGAAATCAGTTACGAGCGTTCTACGAGGAAAACCAAAAGCACAATGATATTCAAATGTCAGACCTGGATATAAAATTCGATTTCATGTTATTTGATTTTTCCTTCGACTCTCGCCTTTTCGAGCAAAAATATCCTTCATCGATTCTGACAAGTATTGTCATTGTTCTAATCTGATCGTCGTACTAAAGAAGACCGTGTCTAAATGAAAATTAAAGGTGAAGTAGAAATATATTTTTCATTTTTATATAAATATTTGGTGAATAAATATATTTCAAACATATCAAGTACACACAATATAAACACTAATCCAATATAAACTATATGATATATCAATAGACTATGTCGTATAGGTCAAGTGTATACTGTATAGTATATACAAGCTGTAATGCTGGTGACATTCAATATTATCTGTAGATACATGCTATAAACTGTTAACTGTACTGTATGGACTGTTGACGTCTGTACTGTGTTAATAATTTTTAATATAATAATATTTATACACCAAAAATTGGAAGGTGTAATACCCACACCCCAAGGATAGGTGGGACATTAGCCGTCTTGCAGTATGTAATTATATATAGGCAGAAATGGTCTCGAGTACTGGTGCAACTCAATGGGTTAAACTAATATCTAAACATAATGTTTGTAACTCCACAATTTACATACTAGGTGTAACGAGTCTGCAATGCAGTGAGAATCAAACCCATAATTTAATTTACGTCAAATAAATTTTTAAAATATTAGGTCACAATTTCCAAACTTTGCCTTGGATGCATTTTTCTGGAATGATCCGGCATTTTCAATCAAAAGTGCAAATTGCCATGAATTCCAATGCTCTACTGAAAGTTGTGGGTTTTCTCCAGGCACTGCAGTTCCCTATCACAATGACTGACCATAGTTGTGCTCCATGGTTAGACATTAATCGTAAGGTGGCTGCCG